TATGTACTCTCACATATTCAGATAGCAGAATCTGATAGATGCAGATATATTTTGATGTGGCAGAAAAAGACAAGCACTGATAGATAACTAAAGTTCACAAAGCACAAACTGTCAGGAACAGAATGAAAATGGTACTCTCACATTCACACAGCAGAATCTGGCATGTACATATTGATAACTATACTCACACATTAACCAAGCCAAAACTGACAAGTATGGATTGATAACAAGACTCACGCGGACATATCAGAAACTGATAGGCGTAGATTGACACCTGCACTCTCATATTCACATCCCAAAAACTGAGAAGTACAGCTTGGCAAATACAGTCACACCTTTGCATTGCAGTAACTGACAGTGACACACTGATGACAACACTCACGTTCACATGACAGAAATGGATAGGTACAGACCAATGACCATGCTCACATCATGACTTAGCAGAAACTGACAGGTAGAAATTGATAACTCAACCCATACATTCACAATGCAGAAACTAACATGTACATGTTGATAACTCCAGGCACATATTTGCATTCCAGTAACTGTCAGGGGCAGTTGAATAAACAATGCTCTTACATTCACAGAGCTGAAACTCACAGGAACAGAATGATTACTGAACTCACATATTCATGTGGCATAAATGGATAGGAACAATTTGACAAATAAAGCCAGAGCAGGATCTCACAGGTGTATATTGATAACGACACGCACAGGTTCATTTAGCAATAACTGACAGGTGGAAGTCAAAACTTTGTCCCATATTCATATATCAGAAACAGATAGGTGCAGCTTGATAACTGTACTCGAAGATTCAACAAGCAGAAACTGACAGATGTAGATTGATAACTAAACACACATATGAACATAGTAGAAACTGACTGGTACAGATTGATGATTAAACTCAAATATGAACGTAGCAGAAAGTGGCAGGAGTTGGTTTATACCTGCATACCAATATTCCCATACCAGAAACTGGCAGGTACAGGCTGAGAACTATTGACACACATTTGCATTGCAGAAACTGACAAGAACAGATCAGTAATAACACTCCAAGTTTCACATCGCATAAATTGATGGTTAGATTGATAACTACAGTCACATATTCACACAACAGAAATGGACAGGGTGAGAATGATAATTACGCACATAGTCATAGAATAAAAACTCATGTATACCCATTGATAAATGCATTCACACATTCAAAAAAAGCAAAAACTGACATGTACAGATTAATAACTAGACTCTCAGATTCACAGAAAAGAACCTGACAAGGACAGATTTATATATGCACTCACCCTTTTGCATGACAGAGAATGACAGAGACAAAATGACAACTAAACTCACACACTCAAAAAGAAAGAATGAAGTACGCAAAGATATTCACTAAGCATAATCTTTCAGATATAGATTGATAAATACATTTGCATATTCACACAACAGTGATTGACACAGACAGATCGATAACTAAAATTACAATTTGAAATAGCAGATACTGACAGGTACAGAATGATAAATGCATTTACGTGTTCACAAACAAGAAACTGATGGGTACTCTCAGATACACAGCACTGAAAATGACAGGAAAAGATGGTAGATGCACACATATGCACAAAATTGTCAGAGGAAGATTGATAACTACACTCCTATATTCACAAAGCAGAAACTGCCATAAACAGATTGATAATGACACTTCCACTTTGACAGAATAAAGTGACAGGTACAGTTTGAAAACGACAGTCTCGCATTCACCAAGCTCAAACAGATGGTTATAGATTGACAAATAAATTCAAACGTTGACATAGCAGAAACCTGGAGGCATAGCTTGGTATGTGCCCTCATACATTCAGTTGGAGAAACTGACAGGCACAGATGGATAACTGCACTCAGACAGCAGAAAACCTTAAGAGCAAATTGACTTTCACACTCCTCCCATATTTCCACATCAGAAACTGCCAGGTAAAAATTTGATAACTAAACTCTGATAATTCCATAGCAGAAACCAACAGGTAGGAGTCAGTAATAACCCTCATTTCTTCACTTAGTAGAAGTTGGCAGGTTGAAGAAAGGGCAAGTTGCTAAGAAGGGCGCTAAGAAAGCGGTGAAGAGGGCGCCAGCGAAAGGCAGCAAGAAGAGGCGAAGGTCCAGGAAAGAAAGTTACTCCATCTACATCTACAAAGTGTTGAAGCAGGTTCACCCCGACACCGGAATCTCCTCTAAGGCCATGAGTATCATGAACTCGATATTTTCGAGCGTATCGCAGGGGAGGCTTCCCGCTTGATCCGTTACAACAAGCGCAGCACCATGAGCTCCCGGGAGATCCAGACTTCCGCACGCCTGCTGCTGCCCGGGGAGCTGGCCAAGCACGCCGTGTCGGAGGGCACAAAGGCGGTGACCAAGTACACCAGCTCCAAGTGAAACACCACTTGGCACTGAAAAACCCAAAGGCTCTTTTAAGAGCCACCCACAAATTCCCATACTCTGTTGAAACATCATCTTTTTAATACTGATGAACTTTTCTTTGCAGTTGGTACGGGGGAATTTTAAATTTCAGTTCTATGTTTGTCTTTTATAAAATGATCTGTAAATTAATAAGTGGTCAAGAAGATTCTGTGTGCTTTATTCTCGGTTGAGTTCCAATACAGCCTATTTTCCCTGCCTGTAGACGGACAGTATATGAGACACCAATGAGTCATAGGGTATTACAGTCTTTTTAAAAAATATCTTTATTCTCTAACCTTAAAAATATACCCCCCCGTCTTGAAATCCCCCTCCTAAGGAAAACACATCTGCCATTCACCTTATCTTTCCCCCCTCATGATTTTGTAAACCTCTATAAGATCACTCCTCAACTTCCGAGTCATTTCTCAGTTACATTGCTCAAATCACTCTTTACTAGACCCCGATGCCGTATGAACCAAGGTTTCACCCTCTGTCAAACAGAAATAAAAGTGTGCCCAAATTTGATTACCCCCAGTAGGAAGGCTTAGCGCGCTGTGAGGAATTTTGTTTATTTCCAATTTTCCACTCGGATTTTGTAAGATTTTGCAGATTGCTGTAAATGAGCCTTTCTGCTATTGGTGAGAGACTTGCAAAACGAACCGAGATAAAAACCAGAACAGCTGCCGGACTGGTGTAGCAAGTGTGGAGTTATTCAGATCTAGTGCAATAAGGAAGGGCCACTTTAAAATAATGTTTGAAGCATTAATGCGCTCACCCGTAAGAACGTTGTGTGATGTTGTATCAATATGTCGGGGTGCTCTTGAAGTAGGAAAGAAAATGAATATGTGCAGAGTGCGGTTTTTGGCGCTTGGTTTTCGTTTCCGACTGTCCTTACGGTTAAGAAATCGCATTCAAGATCGGAAATGGACAGATTGAAGGAAAAAAGAGAATGAGATAAAAAAATTGTGTGAAGTATACATTTGTAACCTGAAAGTAAATTACCTCGTAAAAAGTGCTTACGCATTCCGCTTTCTAAAACGTTTGTACATCTTGGCGGGCTTTTCAAATTTGACAGAAAGCGGTTTATCATTTTGGCGCCGTAATTTGCAGATTGGTGAATGAAGCAATGAGGTTGGGGCAAGATTTAAAGCTTGTGTCACTGTTAAGGTCAGGGTTATGGTCAGGGCTAAGGTTAGGTTTAGGGCTATGGTTACGGTTAGACCTAGGGTTAGCGCTAGAGTTAGGGTTATGGTTCGGGCTTGGGATTGGTTTCAGGTTAGGGCTAGGGCGTGATTCAGTGCAGTAGTGTTAAAGTAGGAGAAGTGTTGGGGCTTGGGCTTACGGCGAGGGATAGGGTTAGGGTTAGAGCAAGGGTTGGGGTTATGGTTAGGGTTGGGTTGGGTTCGGTCTATGTTGAGCATTATGGTTTGGGCTAGAGGTGGGTCTACAGTTAGTGTTAGGACGAGGGTTCGTGCTCGGATTATGGTTAGGAGAAGAAGTAGGGCGAGGGCATGATTTAGTGCAATAGTGTGAGGCTTTGGGTTAAAAATGGGGTTACGGTTTGTGTTAGGACTGGGATTACAGTTGGGGTTAGTGCAATGGCTAGGGTTAGGACTAGGATTAGAGCCAGGGCTAGGGACAATGTTAGGATTAGGGTTAGGGTTATGGCTATGATTCGGGTTAGGGCTAGGAATACAGTTTAGGCAAAATTTCGGGATAGGGCTAGGGTTGGGTTCAGGCTATGTTTAGGTCTAGTTTTAGGGTTAGTGTTTGGGCTATGCTTCGGACTACATCGACGGTTGGGTCTAGGTTTACTGTCAAGTCTAGTGCTATGGCTACAGGCTAGGGTGAGGTTTAGTACAAAAGTGTTCGGCTTAGGGTGAGGGTTACCGGACCCGAAACGTTAACTCTGTTTCCTGCTTCACAGATGCTGCCAGACCTCCTGAGCTTTTCCAGCAACTTTGTTTTTATTCCTGATTTACAGCATCCGCAGTTCTTTTGGTTTTTATTAAGCATGTACTAATGTCTGACTCAGTGCAATAAGGGAGGGCTACTTCAAAATAGTGTAAAAAGGTGGTGAATGCGCTCATCCCAAAGAAAGTTATGTGATGTTTCATATCGGTGTGCCTTTGAAATGTGAAATTGAATGATTAGGTGTAGAATGCAGTTTTTGGCGTTTTTTTCCCCCCTGCTTCTGAAGGTTCAGAAACCGTCATTCAAGATCCGGAATAGACATTCAATTAGAGGAGGGAATGAGGTAAAGAGAGATTGTGTGAAGTATACATTTGTAATCGAAAAATAAACGAACTCATAACCAATGATGCATTCTACTTTGTAAAACTTTCTCTTTTTGTACATATGGGCGGGCTTTTCAAATTGGAAAGAAAGCGGTTGATGATTTCGCACCGTTAATTTCCAACTTCCTCCCCGTGCCCTCTCCGGATAGGAATGTAGCAGATATCTGATTGGGAAATGGAACAACATTAGGAGATACTGAACAATGTGACCAATCAGCAATGACCACACCACCAATCCTCCCGAAGGTATAAGAGGACGGAATGTGGGCGGATTGCAGTGTTCTCTGTGAAAGTGTTTGTGAGATTGCGGATATGACTGGAAGAGGAAAGAGCGGTGCGAAAGCTCGGTCCAAGCCGAAGTCTCGGTCGTCCCGGGCTGGCCTGCAGTTCCCGGTGGGCCGTGTTCACAGGATCCTCAGAAAGGGCAACTATGCTGAGCGTGTGGGTGCCGGAGCGCCGGTCTATCTGGCTGCGGTGCTCGAGTATCTGACGGCTGAAATCCTCGAGCTGGCCGGTAACGCGGCCCGGGACAACAAGAAAACCCGCATCATCCCCAGGCACCTCCAGCTGGCCGTGCGCAACGACGAGGAGCTCAACAAGCTGCTGGGAGGGGTGACCATCGCTCAGGGCGGGGTGCTGCCTAATATCCAGGCCGTGCTACTGCCCAAAAAAACCGCCGCTGGGGGCATCCCTAAAAAGTGAAGAGACCGTTCTTTAACCTGACAACCCAAAGGCTCTTTTAAGAGCCACTCACAACATCCGTGAGAGAAACTAGGCCCTCACTTCTGTCGTGTTGATTTTTGTGTTTCCCTTTTACCGTGTCGAGCTTAGGTCTTGGTAATTGACCGCTGTCAATTCCTACACCCACATACTCTTGACCCCTGCACCCAGCTAGGTTCACAGTGAGAGCTGGGAGACAAGCAGATTGAGGTGTTTCTCATGAATTATTATAAATCGCAATTTTTAAAGTGTTCGAGTGCATTATTTGTTTGTTGCAGTGTACCTGCGCGTGTGGTCTCTGTCTTTAATCATCTTCTTATCAATGCATCACCCAGCCCCCGGGCACCCCGTTAACAGCCAGTTTCATATTTCCTTTAATCTCATTAGGAAGACCTGAAATGATACAGTGCAACAAATAGTAAATCCACGAGTTTCTCAAAGTGAGTGATCGCTGACTGTCTGCGCTTTATTCTCGGGTGTGTTCATGTACAGAATAGTAGGAACTGCAGATGCTGGAAAATCCGAGAAAACAAGGTGTAGAGCTGGATGAACACAGCAGGCCAAGCAGGAATGCTTCCTGCTCCTATGATGCTGCTTGGCCTGCTGTGTTCATCCAGCTCTACACCTTGTTATCTCTGTGTTCATGTACAGACTCTTTTCCCAGCCCGTGGAGAGGAAGCATATTAAATGTCACTGAGTCATCTTCAGGTACTTCTATGTGTTCGTGTTACTCTTTAACACTCGATCATTTTAGTAGCCACAGGCCCCGGTGGCCTATGAACCCTGGGTTTCAACCCCGGCAAACTAACGAAGTGCTTCCATGTTTGAGTCCCACAGATATCGGCAAACGAACAAATGAAAAAGTACAGCACAGGAACACGCCCTTCGGCCTTCCAAGCCTGTGCCCGCCATCGTGCGCGAATTATTCTAACAACAAACCTGCCATTTTTCGATCCGTATCCCTCTATTCCCTCTCTATTCATGTACCTATCTAGGTTCTTCTTAAATGTGTGCAATGTACCCGTTTCCACCACCTCTTCTGGCAGTGCATTCCAGGCTGCTACCACTCTCCCTTAAACTTTCCCCCTCTGACTTTGAGACTGTGCAATTGAAACTTCAGCCCTGGGAACAAGCCTCTGTCTATCCAACCCATCTATGCCATTCATGATTTTGTAGACCTCTATCAGGTCTCCTCTCAGCCACAGTCTTTCCAGTGAAAACAATCCTAGTCTTTTTAAGAGACAACAAGGTGCAGGGCTGGATGAACACAGCAGGCCAAGCAGCATCATAGGAGCAGAAAGGCTGACGTTTCGGGCCTAGACCCTTCATCAGAAAAGGCCCTTGTTAGGCTGCAATAACACTATTATGTGCAGTTATGGTCACCACACTACCAGAAGGATGTGGAAGCTTTGGAGAGATCATGGAGAAGTTTTGCCAGGATGTTGCCTGGTCTCCAGGACATTGACTATGAGGAAAGTTAAAAAGACTAGAGATAGTAGGAACTGCAGATGCTGGTGCAGGGCTGGATGAACAACAGCAGGCCAAGCAGCATCAGAGGAGCAGGAAGGCTGATGTTTTGGGCCTAGACCCTTCTTCAGAAATGGGGGAGGGGAAGGGGGATCTGAAATAAATAAGAAGAGAGGGGAGACGGATGGAAGATGGGTAGAGGAGAAGATAGGTGGAGAGGAGACAGACCGGTCAAAGAGTCAGGGATGGAACCAGTAAAGGTGAGTGTAGGTGGGGAGGTAGGGAGGAGGTAGGTCAGTCCAGGGAGGATGGACAGGTCAAGGGGGCGGGATGAGATTAGTAGGTAGGAGATGGGGGTGCGGCTTGAGGTGGGAGGAGGGGATAGGTGGGAGGAAGGACAGGTTAGGGAGGCGGGGATGAGCTGGGCTGGTTTTGGGATGCGGTAGGGGGAGGGGAGATTTTGAAGCTTGTGAAGTCCACATTGATACCATTGGGCTGCAGGGTTCCCAAGCGGAATATGAGTTGCTGTTCCTGCAACCTTCGGGTGGCATCGTTGTGGCACTGCAGGAGGCCCAGGATGGACATGTCGTCTGCGGAATGGGAGGGGGAGTTGAAATGGTTTGCGACTGGGAGGTGCAGTTGTTTAGTGCGAACCGAGCATAGGTGTTCTGCAAAGCGGTCCCCAAGCCTCCGCTTGGTTTCTCCGATGTAGAGGAGGCCACAACGGGAACAGCTGATGCAGTATACCACATTAGCAGATGTGCAGGTGAACATCTGCTTGA